CATTTATATAGTTTTAGCCACTTAAAGTTTATTGTTGTGGATACCTAAATTATTTAAAGATATAAATAGTTGCACACTTGTTAACTTACCTTGGAATAATTCTTTAAGGCATGACCCTTAAAAAATCCATTTAATATGTGCCTACAATAAATTTCTCAAGAATTAAATCAAGTAAATTAACTTTTATTTATTATTTTAATTTTTACATTATTAACTATTCGTATTGTACAATTTTATTGGTGATTATCTAGTTAATAGTTAAATTTATAATAATTTGTATTTAATATCATACTAACAGTAAATTATATTTGTAAATTCAGTTTATCAATTTCCATATATACATACATATCCCACATAAATACTTTAGACTTATACTACATATAGATCTTTATTCGTATTGCTAGTTTTATTAATTATTTCATTAAGTTTTTGTAGTTGCAGAAACTGTAGAAATATAGAAATATCGATTTGTTTTTGCTGTTCTGTGAAATGAAAGGTTGAAGTGCTTTTCAGACATACATATGTAAATAAAACAAAAAGTCAAAACAAAATAAAATTAAGACTACGCTGCGCCTTGACGGACTATACATTGCGTTCTGTACTTTTCCAAATATTTTTTCTTATTCTACATTCTCCATAGAGCTAAGAATAACCTTAAGGTGTAGTAAGTGTATGCGCTCAACCCTTTTTCTTGAAACGGCCTTACACTTAAAGCGTACGGGCAATGCCTTTTAGTGCAATGTCCTGTGAAGATGTCTGTGGTAAGCCAAAATGGCTCGCTTATTCCTGCTATACCTTTCCTGAACTTCTATCTGTTCGCGTTTAGGCCGACTGCATGCCTTGGCATTAGACCCTTTTTGGCGCTTAGCGCGCTACCTTTCTGGCTAAGTCATTCGCTACTTCGTTCCCCTCTATTAGCTTGGGACCTGATTGCCAAAGTAGTCTGCACAATTGTGATCAGTAAGGGCATTCAGTTTCTCACTCCTAAACCAGAGAGCATGTTAAACCGACGGGTAAGAGAACCTTGATTTTGGAGTAAATTACAGAGACTAAAGTGTAACATTCCGCTTGAAAAGTACACAAATGCCTAATCCTGAGGCTATAGATACCGGCCTCTATGCCTTCTGCGTTCAATTGGAAAAAGCTCGCATAGACATGAGCTTTCATAATAGCGGTAGTCCAGTTTGTTTTGGTGCACAGTTTTCGTTTTAATTTCTTCTCGCAAGCGAGCATTAGGTTCCTAGCTTTTCCATCTGTTAAGATGATAATATCTTTCGTTTCCTAAAGCCCTATCTTTCCAAATTCGAGACATTATGCTTGGTTTTCGGTTATATGATGAGATGTAGGGCCTGTTCGAGACACGTAATAAAAGCGGCATTAATGCTTCACTGATGAAAGTTTGCAACACTGTTGCAATTTCCCAACTGACAATACGTTGTTTGAAATTCACACCGAACGTGTCACTTTAATAATTCACGCAACACTGCGGTTGTGATTGCAACTGTCTCCCCGTGGCTAAAGTAGTTGTCTAAAACCAAAGCAAAGCCCAGTACGCCCATGTTTGCCCTACTGGCGTTCATCCATTTCAACACCTATGGATATACGCTTGCACAATATTAGTGCCTTTGTAGCTCTGGATGCAGTCCCGCCACCATAAGTTCTATCGGCGACTAACGGCATCTGTTACAATAAAATTCTGACTGACTATTATCTTTTTTTTTATTACAGTAATATTCTGCACCCGTTAACTAAATTTCAGATTTTATAAAATGCTTTTACGATGCTGAGATGTTGTACAAAATTGCGGGATTTTAGTGACTGACTAATGTCAAACTACTTTCCAATCAATATACTGCTCGGAGTTATTTTTTCAGATTTTATAAAGTAGTTGCAATGTTTTGAGTTTCTGTACAAAATTAAAGCCACGTTCGCGCCAGAAGCCAGAAGAATTAAACTGACTGACGGTAGGATATTTCTCTATACCACAAATGTGGCATAATATAAAAAGTTTAGGTTTTATAAAATGCTTGCAATTCCTTGTCGCTCGCCTCCCCGACTAACTAAACCAAATCAAAAAATAAATAAAAAATCGATGGTCACAAATTAAGTGTAATATATAAACGCGGAATAAAATATTACAGCGAAATTTCAACTCACAGTTTTCTCTTCATATCTCAATTTAAATCAAAGGCTTTAATATGTTATTTTATGTTTAAATTTAATATATTTGTAACTACTTAGCATCGACATAAGTATTTATTCACTTGTTCGAAGCTTCCTAGCCTACATACAGTCATAGTATTATTTAAAGAGCTGCGTTACTTAATCTCGATTTTTTTTTTTAGTTTAATCTTCTAACCATTCCGCCATTGCTGTGGTGGTTAATTAATTTTAGCACTTCCCACTAGAGCGTTACACGCCCATTTTCTGCTGCTACTGATGCTGCCCCTGCTGTGGTACTCGTAAAAGCAGCGCAAATTCAAATCCACACATCTATATATGTTTATGTCCACAATGCACATATGCACATTAGACTGGGTTGGTTGCCAAAAAAAAATTTAAATAACCGAAAACTTTCAATCACCCTTCCCTCCCTTGTTTGAACACTTACTTTGTGAGGTGCTTGCAGTCATAAAACTTTGGCGAGTCCTAAAATAACCAAAATTTTAAGCTCGTCCTAACTTTTTTATTTAAGACTCGATTTAACCCTCAATTAGGCGCAAGGTTATTTCAAGTTGAAAAAAATGCCTTGAGTCTTGGAACGCTCTTGATTTTTATTTCGGATTATTTTTTTTTAAATCTTGTTTAATTTTTAATTATCTACTATTTTCTTCTATTTTGATGTTATTGTTTTAAATGGCAAAAAATGTATGTTATATTTTATTAGATTTTTAAAAATATTTTTATTTATTTTGGTTTTATTTTCTTTACTGATTAAATTTTCCTTGTTTTAAAAATGTGTATATTTTTTAATTTACTTTAATTGAAAACAAAAACCTATTGCTAAAATGCGAACATCACGCTAAAACCTCCTCGTAAGCAGAACTTTCAATCAGTCTTTAGAATAACTGTCTACCTGAAGACTGATTGAAAGATCTTACGAGATAGTTGCCAGTATTGACAGTTGCCTTACGAAAGACGTTCGTATTGCCGATTGCCAGAATTGCCCTATTAGGCTGTTTGTTTACTTACCTGCCAGCCTAAGTCACTGGCATGACATCACGTGACGTATGAGTGACAACAATGTCTAATATCCACAACAACATGTAGTCCGGTCCAAATAGTCGCTGAATCTTTTTAGTGTATTTTATTATGATTACGCTTCCAAGAAAAATAATTCAGCTCTATTTACTGATGTGGTAAATGAGTTCTTAGAATTTGGTAGACTAAGGAGATACTCTAGGTCGACAGGATCTTAGAATGATGTTTAGTATTTATTTAAAAATACTATATTTTCAACGATATATCAAACTTTGAGCACGAGTCATGAATACAAAACAAAAAAAATAAATAGAAAGAAATTACGATTTGGCTATTTTCGAGGATTTGCAAAGGACGAAAATGTGTATGAACCAACTCCTCTCAAAGTAAGCTTTCAAACTAGGCGGGCGTCATTGCAAACTTTTTTCGCGACCCATTCTAATGTGCATATGTCTCTACATGTACTAAAGTACATTTGAATTCAATAACGTACGAGTACTACGTACATACGTAAGTGTGTATGTACATATTTATACACATGCACATATGTATGTATATCACAAACATATTTAGCAAATAAAAAATATTTATTATATTCAGTTCGGAATTAGCACACTCGTATAAATTAATTAATTTTATAAGTTTTTTTTTACCTGCATTTTTCCGCTTTTCTACATATCTGACTAAATATGTGTGTATGCATTTGCTTTTGCTTATTTGTTTGCTTCCTTTGCCCCTTATTGGCATAAGTGCAGTGCCGGACAAAAGTATTGGCACAGAGAATTTTTCGAAATATATGCAAAGTTTTTTATTCTAATTTATTTTCGATAACTTTTATAAAAACATAGTTCGTACTTCAGCAAAAAACATAAAAGCAAAATCTCTAAAAATTGTGCAAAACTCAGGAAAATTCAATTAATTTGCATACTAATTTGCAACTTTCTATTCAAAAAGTACGCAGTCTTTAGCCCATTCAATTTTAGCATAACAAAGTGCAAGTTTGAAAGTGCCAGAAATTCGCTTTGATTTTTTGCAATGTTCGACAATTATTTTTTATATGGAGAAAATGATCAATATCTTCCATTAAAAAAATGGCCAAAAATCTACGGGACTTTTTAGATACTTCAACCTTGCACTTTCTTATACTAAAATTGAATGGGCTATAAAGCTGCATACATACTTAAAATTTTTCTAAAAAATCTGAATAGAAAGTTGCAAATTTATTGAATTTTCCTGAGTTTTGCACAAAGTTTAGAGACCTTTTTTTTGTTTTTTTTTTTTTTTCTTTTTGTGAAGTACGAACTATATTTTCATTAAAAAATATTGAAAATAAACTGGAATAAAAAACTTTACATATATTGCGAAAAATTCTCCGAGCCAATAATTTTGTCCGGCACTGTACGTATATGGGCCCTTGTGTGAGGCTATCATTTCCAATTCAATCTATTCATGTACACATACATACATTCTCACACGTATGCTGACGTGCTCATTTAAATTTATTAAAAAAAAAATAATTAAAAATAATAATTACACCGATAACTTATTTCAATAAAATCAATTACGAGTACAACATTGCCATACTGTCGCACTTTGTATTACTTTAGTTATATTTAATTAGTAGCATAGCAGTCCATTTAGTTTAAATGCATTTGTTGTCGTTTACATGTTGTTGTGTTTTGTTTGTAGTCAGTTTATGTGCTTTATATTTCTCCCAGTGTATTTTTGCGTAAAATGCCGTAATTTATATGTGTGGTTGGGGCATTCACTAGCTCGGCAGTGCTTAAATGCTTATTTTGCTTATGTGTATGTAAGTAACTTCTAATAAACATTAAACATGTATGGTATATTCCTGGCGCTCCTGCTCCTTCTTTTCCTGATACCTGCAATTGAATATGGGCGTAGAATGCATACATATACAGTGTATATTCAATTAGGGAATTCACAAGACGTTATATACGTCGCAGGTCTTAAAATCGTAAAATTTTTCAATGTAAAATAATGGTCAATAAGTTTTTAAATGATTTGAACCTACATGAAAAATGTTTTAAAACTAATAGAAAAAAATATCAAATAGCTTTTTTTTAGCCTACAAATCCCCCTAAATGCATTTTAACAGCAATTTCACATTGAAAATATTACAACATTAAGGCGGTTGCGACGAATTGTGAATCACGTTAATGGAATTTTTTTACAAAAATATTGCAGAAAAATCAATGATGAATTTTTTGGAGATACATGTGTAAGTAGTATATATCATCACCTTCTTCTTTTTCTTTATTGGCGCTGTCACCGCCTAAGCGATTTTGGACATATCATCACCAGACCGCGAAAAAAGATGCATAAAAAACTTCTGCGAAGATAGACTCTTAACATAGTTGACGGCGGAGAAAGACGCCTAAATCCTAGCTCGTCTTTATTCGTGTCTAGTGGTGATAATCCCAGTAGATAATTTCAGGAGTTAAAAAGCCCTTCTGAAAGACCTTCCTGAGGGTCAAGAGGCCTTCCACTCTACATTCCGTTTTCCTTTCTTTTTTGTATGGAGTGGCACAAATTGAAGGGCTTCTTCTTTTGCTACTCATGGAAGGCCTTCCAGAAGGGCTTTTATAGGACATACTTCAGAAGGGCTTTTGGGGGAGTTCTTTTAAAGTTGCTTCTTTAATTTATAGAAATCATACATCTTTGAAGTATTTTTGCTTGCGGTTTGTATCAAACATGTGTTATAGCAGCTTAAAATGTTTATTGAAATTCATTTGTAATGCTAAATAATATAAATTTATTCATTCGTGTAAAATGTAAATGGATAAGCCCTTCTAGAAGGTATGCAAGGAAGCAATTTTTTCAGCCCTTCTTGGGTAGGCTTTACTTAAGAAGGCCTACCTAAATTATCTTCTGGGATAGTATTAATAGGTATATACAGTGGAATAGCTATCGCAGCAGAGTGGGCCAGTGCCTCTACCCAGGTTAGGGTGCCTCACAGAAAGCCATTTTCAAATCCTTACGCTGGATCGTTGTCATCAACGACTTGCTTGGGGATATGGAAAGTTAGGGCTGCCTATCGCCTTTGTTAGCGACAGCACATAATGGTCAAAGTAAAGTTTCCTAGTTTCCCTCGATGTATGGAGCCTCCCTAGTACTCTCTTACAGAGTCAAGCATTTATGCGTGATTCTATATAAACAGCAATCTTGGAAGAGAACTATTTAGAAGGTAGTGAAAAGGCATCAGGCATTGCCATGATTTATGTTGTATAAAGTCATTATCTGGTAAAATTCCCAAGAAAAGCTTACTACAAACATCAAACTAAGAAGCACAGGTTCCTTTTTAAACCTTCGTATGAGCACTCCACTTGGAAACTCTTCTTTACACACATACCCCTAAAGGGTAACTGGGGAACGGGCCGCCTCTTGAACATATCTGTTCAATTTGCAGGGCAGAGTTGGAAAAAGAAGGTCAGGAAGTCAACACTAATCTCAACGTAAGGCTTCCTGATTTATGCAGCGTATTTCAAGCGGAGGTGACCAACATAAACGAGGCAGTTGACTGACTACGTACCTTCTACATAGACCAAACCTGAAGCTATTCTTGATGTTCTGCTACACTTATATCACTATGCCGAGTGGGATGAGGCCACCAGTAATTTACTGGTAGCGTGGAATATATCTAGACACAAGTGTATTTTTAATGCGCCACTGTGGTGCGCCACCATTAAATTTTCAGAAAAGATTCCCCAAATTTGAACTTCCTGGTGCTAAGTATGTACTTCAACTTTGTCCCGGGGAATATCACTCGTTATTTTAAGACCAGGACGTGAAATCCTCAAGAACGTGGACAATATTTGTATTGGCAGCCTAAATACACACAAAGTCATAGACCGGCCCTTCAACTACATACATACTTTCAAACTAGCTCATGTTCCCCTCAATCGCCGGCGGTCTAGCTAGGCATTTCCTTTCACTGATCTGACGGGTGTGCAAACAACTTGTAGGATTGCTGACTGATCAGGTGTTGTGACACAAAGACGTGGCTGTGATGGCTATACTTGGTTACCACATTTTCCATTTCGTGAAAAATTTTATACGATTCAATGCTTTTCGGGTCCCTGGTCCGCCTTTGCAAAGGAGTAGGTAGGCGGCTCTTGGAAGCGATATGTTGAGAGACGAACAACCCAGTCCTTTATGAGCAACCAATCCGATTCGAAAAATTCCTAAATCATTGATCAAAGAAAGGAACATGAAAGCAGAACAATGGGCAGGGGTCATAATGTCAGAATTCACATCTATCGGAGAATAACTCTTGCCAAAAATTTCTACTTTGGACAGAATAGAAAACTGAGAACTAAGGTCCCCTTCATCGCACGAACATTGTTAAACACGAAATCTTAAATCAACAAGAAAATCGTATGCATTCTAAATCAGATTTCTCAAATATTTATTATTTACCTTGCCAGTAGTGAGGTCAATTCCTCTCGATCCATCTTGGCCAATTCTCCGTCGGTGTTTTCCATAACACGTTGCACTTCCAAGTCCAGTGCACGTTGCTCGCGATCGCATTCAGCTTCGCTGAATTCGCGCAAATCAGTAAAACCCGACGGTGGACGAAAACCCAGATCGCCAGCAGCCACAGCGGCTACCATCGCCGCCAAAGAGGCGCCCGTATCCGAGTTAACCTCACTGTCTAAACTGTGTTAAGCGTTGGGGCAAAAAAGGTAGAAAATTAAGAAAATAATGGAATTGAATATTAAAAGCACAGTAAATATAGACAATTAACAAGATTTATACATAACTATGTATAACTAAATCAATATATTTATGCTCAAAATACAGAAATTCTTTATTTCTCAGGCCGAAAGTACGTTCGAAAAGTATATAGACAGTTTAAATTTTGAATTTTCCTTCACTCCTCTAACACCAACTAATTCAATATTTCCCATCATTCACACTCCCAAAAATATTTGAATGCCCTTATTTCAATTAATCCAAATTAGTTTTGCTTTGGTGGAGTTTGGGGTTTAGGTACCTGAACTACCTGTTGTTACTTCCAGGGCATATTCTCCGATCTAGCGTCTGATGTTCCTTTGCTTGTAGTTGTTGCTGCTGCTGTTGTTGTTGTTGTTGTAACTGCAATTGTTGCTGCTGCTTTCGGCTACGATGTCCTCGCTTATCCGCGCCGATGTTGACACCACCGCCGCCACCAGGCACACCAGCCAGTAATCGCGGCCCGCTTATGCGACGCTCCACCGGTGAGCCCAGCTCATTGTTGGACTCTGTGCTCGAGTCAGGTCGAAACATATCTGCAAAAGGGTATAAATAGCGAGCGACAGGCTTACTAGCAAGTGCGCCCCACCCATACGCACCTGCAGCTGGGCGCCCATCGCTGCTGCGCGTCGACTTACAAGGAACTCTATAAGTTGGCATGTTGGAGAATTCTGTGCTGGGACTTATGCTCGTGTCCGATTCGGATTCACAATGTGCCCCAGGCACCACAGCACCACCAGTCCCGCCTACAACTCCGCTACCGCTACCGCCACCACCACCACTACTGCTGCTGGTACTCTTGCTGCCGCGGCTGCCATCGTTGCGGGTGCTCTTCTTGGAATGACCCGATTGAGACCCAGCGACCATTGTCATAGATTTGCTGAGCGTGGATTCGTCTGATGGTGTTGTATGTATGAATAAATACCAAAAAGAAGGGTAAAAAAGGTTAAAAGGAAAAATTAAAAATGCCTTCAGAATAGCAAATCCCTACCATCCGTGTTGTAGTAGCGCTGTTTGTGCCAGCTGGATTTCGATTTCACATGTCCAAATCCAGAGCTTGCCGGCAGTAGAGGATAAGCCGTTGCATTGAGATTGTCACCCTCCGGATGTCCGAATGTCTTGAATTGCATTGTATAGTCCATGGGTGAGGCGCAGACACCGCCATGCGAGGGCGCTTTCGAAGACGAACCAGCACCAGCGCCAGTGCGTCCACCATTCACACTAAATGTGGCATACGGTGAAATCTCATACATTTCTAAGGTGCGAATCACGAGAAATAGGAGCAAAAGAAAGAGAAATAAAAGAACCAAAAACGCCATCAGTAATAGAGAAAGTTATTTAATTACTGCGGTTAGTCGACAGCTCAAGAAAGATTTGCTTTGTTTTTTTTTTCACGCGCACACTGAACGTTGGACGTCATGACCTGAAATATGTTTTCTGGCATTTCTGCCAATTCACTTGCAACAGCATCAGCAGCAGCAGCAGCAGTATATACCAACTCACCTGATTCGTTTCCTTTGTCCACCGTTTTCACTGGCGAGGCGCTGTACACCTGCTGATTGCGTCGATTTTCGTGGTCCTCTTTGTAATCGCCAGGCAGTGTACGCGACTCATAGCCCTCGGCTATGGGGCCACACAGTGTGCGACGGTGCTTAATTGTTAAAGCGCTGTCACGGCCGCCCAAGATAACGCGGGTTAGCGTAGGATGCGAACATAGAAATAGTCAAGAAAGGAATAAAAGGAAATAAGCATTGCATAAATGAAATTCGTTTGTCTCGAGTGCAATAAGGTGAAAATGAAAAACGTGATTTGGCTGATGGGCCAATTAAAATGTTTTGCTCTCTGTCGGCTTAGAAAAACTTCTACTTGGGAGTCCATTAACACGCAATCTGCGCTGATTGCAAATGTAGCAGGTGGGGTGCAACATAGAAGCGGTTATTTCAATTTGTTTTGGCGCTTATTTTTTGCATAAAATATATTTGGTGAAGTGTTTAAAAATGTTGGTATTTTATTTAGCTAATACTTAATAGCATAGGTTCAAAAATATGAATTTTTTTTAATAAAAAAAAATTGCAGAAAAAGAACTAAGAGTCATTCTGCGGAAGTGAAACTTCTTACGATTCGTTTTTAGTTACAGTGTGTCAATCATAATAAATGTATATTTGGCGTCGTATTCGTATTCTTATTCGTGCTCGTATTGGTTGGCACTCATGTTCGCCTCTGTCTTCGTATTTGTGGTTAGCAATCTTCGTCGTATTAGTATTCACCTTCGTACTCGTTTTTGTTTTCGCCCTCGCCGTCGTGTTTATCTTAGTATTCATCTTCGTGCTGATTTCATGTATGTATTGTTATTCATTTTGTTCTCCGAATTCGTCTTGCTTCGCCAACTCGTCTTGGTATTCGTCTTTTACTTTGTCTCAGAGTTAATCTGCGTAGTCGTCTTCGCGTTTGTCTTAAGATTCATGATCGTGTTCGTATTGGTATATGTCCTGGTATTCCTCCTGGTCTCCGAATTCGTCTTGTTCTTCTTGGTATTGGTCCCTGTTTTAATCTTCGTAGTCGTTTTTTCTTAGTTTTGGTCTTCGTCTTCGATTTTGTTTAAGTATGCATCTCGTTTTGGCCTTCGCAGTCTTCGTGTTCGTCTTCTTCTTCGCGTTTGTCTTAGGATTCATGTTCGTGTTCATCTTTGGGTATGTGTTGTTACTCGTGTTGTTCTCCAAGTTTATCGTGGTCTTAGAATTCGTCTTGGTATTCGTCTTTTAATTTGTATTCCATATTGCTTACATATGCGTCTCGTTTTGACCTTCCTAGCCTTCGTGTTCGTCCTTGCCTTTATATTCGTCCACGTCTTGAGCTTTGTTTTAGTATACATCTTCATGTTCGTCTTCATATATGTACTGTTATTCGTCTTGCTCTCCGAATTCGTCTTGGTCTTCCAATTCGTCTTGATATTAGTCCTTTTTTTTGTCCCTGACTTAATGAGTAGGCGAAATACGGTTCTTTAGAGCATCTTAAATGGGCAAAAAAAATTGCCGGACCAAGCATAGCGGGAACTGGCAGGTACATTGGAAATCTCATGAATAATACTTATGCAAAGCACTGTCGCAATACTGAAAACATCTAACCAACCAAGTGTTCCTTGAAAAGGCCAAACGGGGTGAGTCAAATTTCCTTCAATTTCCAAAACTGATTACGGGATCCAATCCATAGAATTACGACAAATATGATGGGCTATCTACTGAATTCAATTTTATTGAGGACAGGCAGAGCAATTTCCTTGCAGCTGCCCGACTTTAGCCAGACTGAAATAATTCATTTTTGGGCGGACGTATTGAGAATGTACCACATACATTCTTCTTTCCTCGACAAACCCCCTTAGATGAGTAAAAGATTACAAAGTAATAGTGATTCCCAACGCCCACCTGCCTTTCTCAATCTTAATAAACCTTCCCCTAGGTTTTAAATATAGTGGGCAACTGTCTATGCCTGAGTGCTTGGAAAATCCCTTTAGATTTTTGGCCACCCACAATTTATTCAAATCCATCAAGTATGAGTTCGTCCACAAAAAGGAACTTTACGGTGAAGACTTTGGGTCAGCGGCGTCATGAGTTCTTACGTTTTCGAAAATTAAACGTCAAAGTTGTGCGCGACTGAAAAAATAGTAACTGATCATAAGCGGGTTAGATCCCACCTTTGGCCTTGGGTGGGTAAATCATACAGATGCGCAGAAAAGGATATCATGGGCTCTTTCTGGAAAGGGAACGTCTACCAAGGCACATCAAAAGGCTTATATACGAGCTGCCGGATGAGCTGCAGAACTACAAATATCAATCCTTGGACCGGCACTGTATAGACTGGTAATCAATGGCATTCACTGTGATAGTTCGCGCAATCGACTGAATCCCTCAAAGCTAACAAATCTCAGCCCTTTTTTACGCGGCAAATTCATTAAAAACTGGACGTTTTCAAAAAATATAAGCAAACTTGTTCTGAAGTCACGACGGTTCTTTCGCGATAGACAGCTTAGTAGGAGACAACCATGCATTAGCATATTTGTGAAACTTTAGTCCTCAAGAATTGATATATCTGTGCGATCCAATTCTGGCTTAGATAGGGAGGGCGCAATCTCCCAGAAAGAATATAGGACATTTTTGTGTTAAAAGCTGGCACTAATAGTCCTAGGAAAAAGTTAGTATCAACGCTAATAAGCAACTTTCACTTTAGGCACTGCGAAACTAGATCCGTGCATTATTTAGTCTATGCTACATATTTACATTCCTCTGCCCGTATTACCGATTAGGTAGATATACATACATACAAATGTACAAATTTTTTCGATGCATGCAAACATCAATACTTCAACACAAAATCCGGTGAAATAGTTTCCTGATTAAGGTTTCTTTTAATTAGTAATGGGTAAGCATTTTCTTTTAATTTTTTCCTACGCGCATTTTCGCTACAGACACGAAATTCGAATGCAAAAAAAAACAATATACATATACATATATAAAATGGGCCACAGCCAAAGGTTGCACGAAAGGCCACGTTATATAGCGATTTATTTCGTCGCATTTAAATGTCAAAGTGCGGTGCTGCATCCCAATTGGTCGCATTCCTACCCTTCTCAATTCTACTACATAAATATTACATTTTAGGTGGATTTTTTTTTTTTTTTTACATTTTCTCTTGTACTTACATTGTAATGATGGCAACGGTGATGATTACGATGACGATTAATGTTGAAAACCAATCACCGTTGGTCGGATTCGTTGCATTTATCAGATTGTTCATCAAATCATTTTCCGATGGGAAAACCTGAGGTGGTGGTATTGTTACTCCATCCAGATTAGTGGTGGCGAAATGATAGTGTTCAGTGGTTTTGCCAGCATCATTTGTGGCCGAAACGCGTAGCTGATACCACTTGGCTGGCAGGAAATCGCAAAATATTAAATTTTCACGATTCTCCTCGGCATTCGAGATGTCGGATGTGACGACCGTCCAACGGATGTCCCCTGTGTAAAACAAAAAAAAATGTTAAATGGAAATGCTGATTGCTTGCGGCGCGCACAAAGCACCGGGTTAGCTGCCTACAAATGCGCATACATACATATACTATATACTTCAATATGTACATACATATTTACATACTTATAATCATACATATTTACGTAATGGTGCAACAAAAATGAATGAAACTTAGAATGCAATGCAGCAGTGGGTGGGCATACCTATATATTACTGTGGCATTTTATTAAAACAACATAAGTGATTTTAAAATGTTTGCCTTTGAAGTAACAGATAAAAGATTTCTCTTGAAAAAGTTTATATTTCTATAGAGCTTCTATTGAAACGGCAACTTAAACTACACCATGGAGTGAAGTCAGAGTGGTCTCTATACTCAATTTGGGGACAAAAAACTCGGTACAACTACCAATTAGCCTTAGCTCTTTTCTAGTAAAAATATTAGGAAAACTAATTGACTTTCACATTAGGGATAACTTACGGAAGAATAAGCCCCTATATGAAAGTCAACACGCATATCAGGCAGGCAAACCTACTGTTATTATAATACCTATATAGCCTAGTTCAAGTTATTGAAAAGACATTGTACTATGAACAGATCGCTTTGCGTACATTCTTGGAAATATCTGGTGCTTTCGACAACACGTTTTACGAAGCAATATTAACAGCTCTGATAAGGAAAGATAAGCATGTTAAAATCCAGGACTAAAGTAGCAAAAGAGGGAAACCAGCCTTGCAGGAACGGAAATTGAGTTCTATGGAGAGGCGAAATATCTGGTTGTAAATCTGGACAAAAGGACCAATTGGAACTAACATCTCTCCAATGTTATCAACAAGACTACAAGGGCCTTTTTTGCTTGTCAAAGAGTTCATAGTAAAACTTTGAGAATATCACCCAAACTACCACAACCTTTGACTCATTTAGAATGACATCAGGAATTACGGACAGTTGTAAACCTCTTTTTAACAGCCTAGGAGTCCATAATAAATTGAAGCTATAGTGGGTCCCTGGACATGAAGGTTTTGAAGGCAACGAAAGGGCTGACTGTCGCACAAAACGTGAAACCCAAACACGCACGCATTGTCCCGAGCCTTACTGCGGCACATCTACAAAAGTGCTTAGGAGTTGGCAAGAATCTCAGATTGCTGCTCTTTACCATCAGTCAAAGGGAATGAGACAACCAAAAATATTATTCTAGGAGAAACTCCGAAAGACTCCTTGACTTAAGGCGACAGCGTCTTAGAACTCTTACTGGCCAGGTCAGGTAGACCGGACACTGCAAGTAAAGGTACCATTTGCACGAAATGGGGTTTTCCGTAGAGACGGACTGCAGGTTTTGTGGGCTAGCGGAGGAAACCTCAGAGAGTATTATTTCTGACTGCCCATGTATCGTAGACTGATACACCTTAGGGTCCGATTATCTTCTCCATCCAAAATTTGAAACACCGCACCCTCCAAAGTGATTAACTTCTTAAATAGCCTTAGATTGGAGTGCCTACAAATAAGGGTTTAGCACAATACATTTTTTTAGGCTGCGGCGCAGTGGCTAGTTAGTCATTGCAATATTGTCAGGGAACCTAATAAAATATTTCTCAAGAGGGAAAATGGCCTACCTCGAAATAAGTTGATTTAATAAAAATGCCATAGATTTATAGAGGAGAGATATGCATGTAGGCGTGTGTGTGTGTGTGTGGAAATGCAATAGAAGTGCCATTGCGGACGACAAGCATTTTATCATTGCCACAAAAGGTCTACGGGGCAATGACGTAACCATTTGATGCATTGATATTTCATGCAATGCACTCCCGAGGGCTCAGGCGCATTCACAAGCCTAAATACATATACATATGCATATCTAAATTATATGTATGTGTATGCGCGCCTAACTGCAACATTGCAATTGCAAATGCATTGCCAACTAAATTATATGTGCGCATTGATGGATGTAAATGTATTGCGTTGCCTTCAATATTCGAAATTGATTGACTTTCAAGGGAGTTGCATTGACTCGCGGCGGCTGACTGCGCGGTATGTGCCACATTATTGCTGTTATGCACATCGATTGTGCGCAATTTCGCTAATGTTGCACTTTAAAATATTTTGCAACAAACTGGACCAACAACAAAAAACTACAGCAGAATAAATATTTGTTGTAGTAATTTAATTAAAACTGTAACAGATACATATACTAAGTATACAAACAAAAATAATCGCATTAAATTAAATAATACGTATTACTTGCAATATGCAGCAGTGATGCATGTATTGTATTGTAAAATATTTTTCATATACAAATTAGTATCTATTATGAAAAAGCCATTAAAAAAGTTTTAATTATTTAAGTAATCAAAAACAGCAATGGTCTATAAATTCAGCGTAGGAATTCGTATAATATACATAATGTCGGTATCAGGAAATAAAAGTAAAATCAAATCACCCATTTGTAAGTTACTCTAGAATTTTCAAAACAGGATATTTTTGTGCGCTAGGTTTGTGACCGGCCACGTTGAACAAATTTCCATTGAATGATAGAATTAAGCCTTGGATGAGATTGCCTTCTACTGATGACGCCACGCTGAATCTTCAAAGTTCAAAGGCCTATGCTTTCCTTAATAGGGCAAAGGCTGAAATCACCGCCATCCAATAAGAGCGGTGGGCGGCAAGTTAGAAAAACCATAACAATTTGCGACATCTACTAACAGCTGCTATGTGGTTATGGTGGTTTCGACCACGCCCCAGCGAAATAGGAAAACGAGGCTTGCAAGGATCTGTTCTATGCGCGCTGGGAACGCATTTTCTAGCGCGACCCCCGTCAACACGATATGAAAATTGTGCTTGGCGATTTCATCGTCAGGGTTGACGCGGAAGCGATATTTGGCCCAATAGTCTGAAAATTCATCTAAGATAAAAGGGTCAGGTGGAGAAGAAACTAAGTTTACTTAAGAGAGTGGAACCAACAGCCAGGGGAATGTGTGAATGAGGTGGTGGAAGAATGTAGAGCAACCCCGTAGACTTCGATGGAGAGGCAAAACTACAACCTTCAGATTAGCCAGAAAGCGGAAGGCTTGTTGCACGCGGAACAAGGTAAAATGTCGTGCGGCATGTGCAGCAGGCATCTGACTTTTCAACTTTTTTTGGGAATATTAAATCTACATGGTATCATGCAATGAGTTTTTATACATAAATTAATTTAAGAAAATTGTTCAAAATTCTCCCGCAGGAACCGTATTGAAAAGTTTGAACCCACTTATATATTTTTCTTATATATTGCAAAATTCTCAGAAATATGGAGAAAAGCTCCGAGGCAGACGGTTTTAATGAAAAGTGTTGTATGCGACTTCAATAGAAAATTCAATTGGCTTTATTTTAAGGACTGAAATTCGCCAACCACGTCTGAGGATAATTGCAATTTAGTTAATTGACTTTCCCAAACCTGATAAAACTAAAGTTTTGCTAAATCTCTAAAAGTGTTTTACTTTCATAAAATATGATTATACATATACATATTCGGATTCAGGAAGAAATTTTACATATGAAGTGATGATCATTGATCAATTCACTAAAAACAGAATTAAATGTAGCGGGAAGGCTTCCGAAGGTGGAGAAGCCATGGAGATGGATGGGGGAGGCGAGTAGGGACATCATGCTGAGCATCCTTCAAATCCCCTCCGCGGCATAGTAAAGTATATAGCTTAAAGTGTTTTTATACTATTAAATAATTAGAATAGAGTACAGAAGAATCAATTTTATTTGTTTTTAAAGTACTTTAGTCATATTTTATATTGCTTCTAATATTTCTGCAATAAGCAATAATACATATCATTTTGACAAATGCAAACATATATACATACTGCTTAACGTAATAGGCTATATGATTGTAGAGAATACTTAATCAATTTAAGAGATTAATTGCAGCCAGTAGCAAATGAAGCGAATTATATGTTTCAGCAATTCGCATTTAAAAACACACTTTGCTGCACCTTTTCCAACTCTTATTCAATTAGATGCGTGTATGTATGTACATACATATTATGTAGGTATGTATGTGAGTAGCAATGAAAACTTGTCGCATTGCATTTAACCACAATCACACACATGTAACATGAAATTTTGCATATCAGAACATGCGATTGTAAATAGAAAATGGCTGTTCAATAAACTCTAAAACCGCAACCGCAACTGCGATGTCCGAAAATGGCTGGCAACTGCCCGGCCACAGGCCCACGCGTTCAACAATCGACTGAACATTGAATGCAACGAACAACTATACATATTTACATATACATTAGAGTGAGCCAAAAAAACTAACCTAACGAATTTGTGAACTTAATAATAACAATAATTGGCGCTTACACATAGAGATGTATTTTAGTGTTTGGCCGAGCTTCTCCTCCAATTTGTGGCGTGCGACTTGATTTTGTCACACAAAGGGGAGGGATGAACAGTTTAACGCCGACTCCGAAAGGCGTATTGCATTTTTAGGAGAAGCTGTTTTCCATTTTTTTCTATTTTTCTTTTTGCGATGTTGCTTTGATCAGGGCATGAACCCAGGCTATGCGGAGTGGAAGCGCGCACTGCTTACCTCTACACCACAGCGGCCGCCATTTATGACCTATTTACTGAGAGTCGATGGATTTTTAAGAATTTCTACTACTCTGATCTTCCCGAAGATAATGATATTGCTGAACGAGGTACTTAAGTATGGAAATTACAATGCCAGCAATATCCTAATTGCAATAAGCTGAATTTTATTAAGAATCAAAAAGAACATTATGTTTAAGAATGCTATAAAAAATAAATAAATGGTTTAAAACCTTCTCTTCTCAATCTAGTTCGTAATCAACATTTTCTATACAATTTGTATCGCTTTAGTGTAAGTTTTTTCATTTAGCATGAATATTTCCAATAATGGAGCCCTAAACGCACATATTTCTGCTTTTTTCGACTTATATTAATTTTTTACTTACAATTTTTACTTACACATTAGATCGTACCAGAAAAGCAATTCACATTTTTCACAAAAATTCAAAAAAAAAATATTTTTTCTGGCCGAAAATAAGGTCTTTAAGTATCATATATCGATGTTCTTGGCTTGAGGAGAAAAAAGTTTTGTTCTTTCCAAAAAATGTACAAAGTAGACCACTCGATTCGACAAAAAAACAAAACAAAATTACTTTGCAAAAATGCTTTAGATTCAGGGATGTACAGCGAACTTTTTTTGTTTGCTTGTAAGTTGGTACGGTCTAATGTCCATGCATATGTATGTATGTATGTATGCACAGGTTTCTTTATGTTTTTTCTGCCATTGACGCGCGCGCGGAATGTCAAAATCTGGTGACAAAAATATTCAATTACAAAATTTTGCGCACAAAGCAGTTTACGTGTAAACCGCAATCCTGTGGTGGTTTTTCGAATCAATACAACAACTTCAATTACAACAAATGTATACTATTTAGCCAGGCAGTATATATGTACATATAAGTATGTATTTATGTGGGTAGGGACAACTACTCTATGTATGTATAGATTAGGGATGTTTCGAATGTCAATCGCGAACGCAAATGTGCGAATGCGAATGTTAGGAATAAAATTAAAAAGCTATAATCAACTAAAGTCATCATTTTTATTATTTAAAAATTTGGTAAATTATGTATTAGAATGTTGAACGAGTGCTTAACCTATACAGTGTTTTAATCGAGTAGTCAAAGTTCAAAAGGGGCATATTATGTTTCAAAAAAAAATAATTTTGCAGCCTTTTCTCCCATGAGGCAAGTTCTTAGAGGCACGTTTGTAAGGCCGGCTGCACTGAACAATTGGAACGCTGGCGGGGCGGAGCGCTCAAATATTTGCGGGCCAGATCTGTTAAATTGTCGTATTTTAGTTTGGTTTTCCACCAATCGAGAAGATTTTCCCCGAGATGAGCACGTTTTTCTTTAAGATAGGCATTCAATTGAGTTTTGATTTAATTTTTTTTTAATGTCTCCAGATTCTACATCCGAGCCTTCGCTTTCGCTGGAGGAATCTAAAATTATTTCTAGGTTGCTTATAAGACTTTTAGCAGTACTTGTTGAAGGCCCATCAAAGTTGCTTGATACACTACTTAACCGTTTTGCGCCCGAAGCTAAACGCCGGTTATTGTCCGCGGCCTGGTTAGACAGACTTAGAGCCATTTCAAAAGTATTAGAGTGGACTCTCTGCCCATGTACACATTCGCATTCGCAAAAAAATTTTACTATTTGATGCGAATGCGAATGTCAAATGCGAATGCGTAAAATGATGCGGATCATTCGCATAACGAATGCGAATGCAAATATTCGCAACATCGCTGGTATAGATGTGTGGAAGCTCATAAAGGGAAAATCGGAACTAATGAATCAAGTGTTTATTGCCATAAACATCTAAATAAAATAAATGACATCTAAATAGATCATGTCATTTACGGTTTCTAAGGGGAAAAACAACCCTTAACAAAGTATTAAAAATCCATCCGCATGAATTTATGAAAACTGATTTCAATTTTGTTAAAATCTGAAATTATTTTAAAACCACNATGTGTGGAAGCTCATAAAGGGAAAATCGGAACTAATGAATCAAGTGTTTATTGCCATAAACATCTAAATAAAATAAATTACATCTAAATAGATCATGTCATTTACGGTTTCTAAGGGGAAAAACAACCCTTAACAAAGTATTAAAAATCCATCCGCATGAATTCATGAAAACTGATTTCAATTTTGTTAAAATCTGAAATTATTTTAAAACCACATTTTATCCACTATTTTAATTTTATAAGGACTAACATCAAATTCGTAATCAGCAAAAACCAAAACCATTGGATATGAAGTTTAATAAAGTTTGAAAAACCACCAGGCAATATTCTATTGGCCGATGCAGAACAGAGATCGTTAAGAAACCATAAATGTCTCGACTTGGAAACACAGAAAAATTTAGTCTCTACTTTCCGAAAATGCTTGATTTTTTCGTGGATGCAAAAAACATTTGATTTTGTCGTACGGCGTATTCACTAGGGCCGAACTAGTGCGTTTCGCTACTGGGTACACATTTAATTGCAAATATAAATATGTAAGTATATGCCCTCAGGTTACCACTCACTGGCATCTCCACATGATTCACTTACCCAACGGTCGATGCTCAATGGAAAAATGATAAATAGGGCAGCCTCCATTGTTCCACGTCGATAATTTCAAATTCACACAGGATGCATTGGTTGCTATCAGTTCGTTGCCGTTCGGCGCCTGAGAGGCTGTAATGAAAAGTAAAAATCGTAAAAAATTAATAATTTCAGTTATTTGTGTGGCAAAGTACGTAGTCGTAGTTCTCCTATAAAAATGTAAGAGTACCGTTAATTTCCTTATGATCCAATTATCGGATCTTAACCAAATTTGTATGGGGCCACCCTCGAGGTACCACCTTTCAGAATTATCGAGATCGGTTCGCGGGGTCCAAAATTTGTTTTGGAGTATTCTTTTTCATTTAAGTAATACTAGTGAACTTGCATGGCGTTGAAACGCCTTAACTTAATTAACATTTTTAAACAGCGGGCAACTGTGTTCAAAAATCTAAATAAATTTTCCATATCTACGGCTGAGTGGAAGATCAACCTCTCTCGGCAACCCTTCGAAAACGCTCTGTCTCAAATGAAGATATATAGAAAAAATAAATAATATAAAAAAAACTTTTTAATATACAACGCTTTTATAAATGGACTAAAAAGTAGAAAATAATACTTCTCAGTCCCATAGAATTTGTTTTGATAACTTTTGATTTTGAAATTTTAGCAAAAGTCATTATAAACAAT